CGAAATTAAAAAAAAAAAAAAAGACACAAGTAAAATACCTGACATCTTTATTTTTAATCACTCAAGTTTCAAGATGACGTGCGTACCTTCCAGAGTTAACTAGTTAGTGCCAGTCTCTTGGGCTTTATCTGCTAAGTTTAACTTAAAATAAGGAAAAAAATAATGATTTCATTTTATATTGTTTATTAATCACAAACCTACTTACCTCTCAAAATATATACTGGTGGCTCAGTAACAAACTTGAAGGCATAAAATGTTCAAATTTAGGGTTCAATTCCTGCAGTACACAGACACTACAGACAGTCCCTTATCTAGCTTTAGGCTTAACAAAAACAAATAAGTCAAATTTACAGTGTAATTCAAAATTGAAACCTGTTGCATTTTTATGATAAGTATTATTACGGTTTGCTCAGCATTTCTAAGACTTGAATTTTTTGATATATAGAAAGCCATGGATGTGATGGGGATGACAGAAGAGAATAAAATGAATGTTTTAAAAGTTGTGGCAGGAATCTTACACATTGGTAATGTAACCTTTCTCGAGCAGGGGAATTATGCTGTCATTGAAAATGATCAATGTAAGTACTTTCAGCCTTTAAACAATGTTTCAAAGTGATTTTTTTTTATTTGTGATAAATAGTATGCATTGTATCACCAGAAAATCTCTAATCAATTAAAATTAAATAGAAGTTAGTATTTATACCATATTGGTTGATAATGGAGGGGTGACAAAAATTGGCTGTGATCGTAAACTGAGAGCAAAAGAAGAATTATAAATAGAATTAACTTTTGTTGAAATGAGAAAAAAATAGTTAAAACGTTGATGATATTAAAACCACAATTTCATGAGGTCGAAGATGAAAGACGGAAAACTTTCGAAACGTCGTCCTCTACATTTGTAGGTTTCTACAACAGGCAGTTGCTGTCCATTTGATTACTTAGTTTCATAATATTTGTTCTTGTGATGAGACAAAGGAAACAAAAAATGAGAAATTCTGAACTATCATGCCTAAGTCTTCAAAAACATTTTAGATATCATTTCAAGATTTATATAAAAACTGTATACACTTTATCCTTCCCAGTTTTGGCCTTTCCAAGCTTTCTCTTGGGAATTGAAGAGGAAATGATTCAAACGAAACTAACTAGTCGAGTGATGGACAGTAAGTGGGGAGGTAAATCGGAAACTATAGAAATGAAGTTAAACATTGAACAAGCTGCCTATACAAGAGATGCCTTAGCTAAAGGATTGTATTCTCGTCTCTTTGACTACCTCATTCAAGTGAGTGGAATACTTCAAGTAAATATATATTAATTTATTGGAAATAAAATATTAATAAAAACATCTTAATGAAAGTGAGGAAGAGTGTATAATAATATATCAACCACACTATATCTGCTGTATCCAGTGCCAATGAGGTCTTTTGCCGAATACCAGGGCTTTTCAGGGTAGCTGGGATAAAACAGACATATTAGTGGTTTAGACCATATCAAATTACAAGAACTTTTATGGTGTAATCCAGATTAAGTTAGTGAAGTGTAATAGTTCATCAGTTTTATTTACGTCACAACACATTAGAATCAGGGTAAGAATTATTCAACAGTATAATATTTATTTTAACACCATTTGTTATTAATTTATTAGTTTCATGAATTAACCTGCTCATTATTTAGAAAACTATTTTTCTTAATTTTTGTTTATATACACGAGGGAATGGTATCTCAACAAAAGTAATATTGGATGCTAACTATTTCAAAAATAACAGTAAAACTACTACAATAGAACAAAACAAACAAAATAACTTTTTTTGTATATATATATGATTATTTTCATATTGTTGTGATGTTGTTCTTTCATTGGCAGGCTCTTTAGATTATCTGGTGAAAATAACTCAAAGTCCAGTTCATGTTGTGATAAAAAATTAGTTTATTTTCTTCTGAATGATTCTTTGCGCAAGTTCACGGAGTTTGTAAGTTTTAGGCCTAAGTAACATTACAAATTATGCTGAAATGGAACTACCTTGACTAACTTGAAAAATAAGCTTATTTGTACCACTTCATGGCTGATTGACAGTAAATGAAAACAAAATCCTGACAAAAAAACCTGTCTCCAGTCAATTAACTTTATCTATGCTTCACTAGTTCACTTTGCAAGCTTAATTAACTAATTGTCTGGCTCACCCGTGTTTATATCTGATTCTTGTGTTCCAGATATTTTACAAAGTCACTAAGTTTTTGTGATGTCAACTTAGGATATTCTAGGCCTACTCCCACTAGGCCTACTCTTAGTGTCAAGCACCCTGTAGCTAACAAATAAATTACAAGAGTAAAAATATGGCTTATAACAATGTTATCAATAAATTTTTAATACAAGTTAAAACTTCAGAAGAAAAATAGATATGCACAATAAAGTTTTGAAAACAGATCATAAGAGTTTAAATGAAGATGAATTATGAATGTAGTACTTATCTAAGCCAGTTAATAGATTTCCATGATACATTCAATGCTGGTAGAAATAGAATTATCTGATTTCTCTGTTCTGTAGGCTAATGTTTGCTGAACAGAGATGTTTTCCAGAGATTGACTAGTAAGATTTAATGAAGTAATGTTCAAACGAACTAAAGTTTTCTAATATTAGATCACATTAGATATAAAGCTTACTTGACGAGACCTGGACTGGTGTTTTTAAACAATATTAGTTCTCACTAGCCAGGAAGGTGATGATAGGTAATACCACCCACTACAACTTTATATGTGGTGATGATAGGTAATACTACCCATTACAACTTTGTATGTGGTGATGATAGGTAATACCACCCACTACAACTTTGTATGTGGTGATGATAGGTAATACTACCCATTACAACTTTGTATGTGGTGATGATAGGTAATACCACCCACTACAACTTTGTATGTGGTGACAATATGTAATACCACCCACTACAACTTTATATATGGTGATGATAGGTAATACTACCCATTACAACTTTGTATGTGGTGATGATAGGTAATACCACCCACTACAACTTTGTATGTGGTGATGATAGGTAATACTACCCATTACAACTTTGTATGTGGTGATGATAGGTAATACCACCCACTACAACTTTGTATGTGGTGATGATAGGTAATACTACCCATTACAACTTTGTATGTGGTGATGATAGGTAATACCACCCACTACAACTTTGTATGTGGTGATGATAGGTAATACT